CCATAGATTCCAATATGTTGTACTGTCATTGTCATTTAATTGTAGGAACTATCTGATTTCTTCTTTAATTTCCTCTGTGACCCATTGGTTATTCAGAAGTGTGTTGTTTAATTTCCATGTGTTTATGAAATTCTTGCAGTTTCTTTTGCTATTGCTCTCCAATTTCATTGCACTATGGTTTGATAATATACAAGGGATAACTTCAATTCCTTTGCACTTATTTAAACATGTTCTATGAGTGAGTATGTGCTCTATTTTGGAGAATTACCCATGTGCAGCTGAAAAGAATGTGTATTCTGATTTTGTGGGGTGGAACACTCTGGAAACATCTGTTAAGTTCATTTGTTCAAAAGTTTGATTGAATTCTAGTATTTCATTGCTTATTTTTTGTCTAGTTGATCTATCTATTTGTGACAGTGGGATATTGAGGTCCCCCCCTACTATTGTATTAGCGCTTATTTGATTTTTCATTTCCATTAGTATTTTTTTTATATAGTTGGGCACACTAGTGTTTGTTGCATATATATTTATGATTGTCATCTCTTGCTCTTGGATTGTTCCCTTTGCCAGGATGTAGTGTCCTTGTTTGTCTCTTAATCAGTGTTGGTTTGAAATCCACTTGATCTGCAAAGAGCATGGCTACTCCTTTTTTTGGGGGGTTCCTGTCACATGGAGTATTGTTTTCCACTCTTTAACTTTCAGTCTATGAGTTTGTTTTTGAAGTAAGTGTGTTTCTTGTATGCAGCATATTATTAGATCGTGCTTTTTGACCCACTGTGCCAGTCTGAATTGAGTCCATTAACATTGATGGTTATAACTGATACGTATTGACTTATCATTGTCATGACTTTTTCTTTTTGTTGGATTCACCCCCTTTTCATTTAATTTCTTGTCATACCCAATGGATTCATTCTGCTGGGCTTCTTGGGGTTGTGATCCTCATTGTCTTTTCCCAGGATATTGTCTGAAAGTTTTTGGAGTGCTGGTTTGGTATTCATGATGTTCCTAAAGTACTCTTTGTCATGAAAGTATCTTATTTCTCCATCAATTTTGAAAGATAGTTTTACAGATTGCATCAGTCTGGATTGGAGGTTGTTTCCTTTTAGGGCTTGAAATATATCTCTCCAAGCTCTTCTTGACTTAAGTGTTTGTGTTGAGAAGTTTGCTGTGATTCTGATGGGCTTTCCTTTGTATGTGATTTGTTTCTTTTCTCTAACCGCTTGTAGAATTTTGTTTTTCTGTTGGGTTTGTGGAACCTTAACTATTATATGCCTATGTGTAGATTTGTTTTTTGATCAAGGCTAGTTGGAGTCCTATATGCCTCCCTTATCTCTTTGTCAAGTTCTTTTCTCTGCTTGCGAAGCTTTCTGCCATCACCTCTGTTAACAGTTTTTTTATATCATCTGGTCTCTCTCTTGTTTCATTGACTCTGATCAGTCTTATGTTATTCTTCTTTGCATCATCTAGCAGCTGCTGGATTGGTTTCTCATGATCCCTTATTATTTTAAAGAGATTTTTCTTTTCCTTGTCAGTAATTGCAGTCTTATCTTCTATATGTGAAATTCTGTCCTCACATTGGCTCAATATGCTGTGTAGACTTTCAATGGAGTTTTTAATCTCCTGGAAATCTATTTGCATCTGTTTTATGGATTCCATTTGTTTCCTAAGTTTGGATTCGATCATGTTCCTCAGCATCTCTATTTTTTTTATCTGTGTCCTCTCTAGATTTATTAATCATGTCTTGCACTATGGGCATAATCTCTGCTGTTATCTGAGAAATTATTTCTGATTTAGCTTTTTCCAGATCCTCTTTTGTAGCTAGTTCAGGGAGTCTAGGTCCTTTGGGGTTTCTTTAGGTATTCTGGAAGTCTGGTTTTGAGACTTGTTTACATATCTTCTGATTTCCATGGGTTACAGTAGGGGTGGGGGGTGTTGCTTGTGCCTGTGCAGCTCACCTCCCCAGCGTTGTGGGTGGTGGTACGTTGGCCCGGAAGGCTCCTCCTCAGTGCTAGTGTCAGCTCTGTTCCTCAGCACTGGGGGTCTCCTCCTCTCTTTCTTCTCTGTGTTGTACTTAGTTATGGAATCCAAGCCCAAATGGTAGGTTTTCTCTAGTTAAATCATTAACAAAGCCATAAAGTACAGTAAATTTTAGATATTCCTTTCCATCTTCACATCACCAATCACATTTCTTACAGAAATTATTTAATGTTAAAAATAATTTTCAAGAATCTTTTTTTCCCCATTTCCAAGTGTCCGTGATATTTGTGCCATCTGGTAGGCATTTGGTTTCAAAACTCATGGAGACAGAGGATTGTTTCACGTCTTTGTACTAGTCAATCATGTGGCCCATTTCCTAGTTGTATTAGGATGCTCACTTTGTCAGAGGCCTGTGGACTATTTCTAGTGCTCGAATTCTTACCCACAGTGGTGGCTAATTTCATATTTAAACCATGATCTTCCTTCTTAAGAACTTAAGAGGAAAGGAAATGTATTTCATTTATTTCATTATTATTATAAAAAATAACTTCATAACTTTGTTTACCTATGCGCAATATTTTTGTGAGAAAAGCATCGCTCCCACAAGTCCAGTCTGATGGGGGCTTGTCAGAGAAACAAAAATGGTGAAACAAACTGAGCCTTAAAGGAAGAGTAGGAGGTTGGCAAGCATTTATAAGAAGAAAGGCTTTCCAGGATGAGGAAATAAGAGAAAGGAAAACCACAGAGGCTGAGAGACTCTGCCAGGTTTGAGGAACTCCAGCAATGGCCTGGAGACACCCCTACAAGTGGTGCTCTGAGTGAACTTGGCTTGTCCACCAAAGAGAGCCCTCAGAGGAGTTTGTTGTAAATATTTCTAGAAAGATCCTAGGGTAGCTGGATCTGAGGCCAGTTAAGAGATCAAGCAGGTCCAGAGAGGGGTCATCTGAGTTGCAAGTGGGAATGGAGAGAAGAGAGCCAATTATGAGAGGAAAGGAAGGAAGATTTTAAGAGGGACTCCCAGATTCCTGTATTCAATAATGAGGAAGACAGAAGTGAGAAAAGAGATTAGGATGCCCAAGAGACAGATGGAACAGGAAGACCCAGAAAAGTAGAAAGACCTCAATCTCTGGAACCAGAGAGGGATAGTGCTGAGAAAGAATGAATGATCAGCAGCATAACACAGACTGGGGCTGTTTTATTGAGGGTATGGCTCCTTAGTAAACATATTACCTTGTAATTTTAAATTCTTATTTATTTGAATATTGACAAAGTGAGTCTTTTAAAAAAATATTCTTGTTTCCTTAAATGTAGCTCATTTTATATAGAAATGGTCTTTTCACATCACTTTGCCTTTTACATATTACAAAATTCTCTGTATATTTTAAGTCAGTGAATTCTGATCAGTCAAAATAAATTTTTAGTACTGTTGCTTTAACTTTCTAAAATTATTTTTAACCCTTAATGTTTCATCTCCTGTAGAGTGTTCACTGGAGAGAAGCTTTGAATATCCTGAAGCTGGTTGTTTCTCGGTCAGCAAGCCTTGCGTTGCCTTCCTACCAGCACAGCGACCTCTCCAAGATAGAAATACATCGAGTATGGACCAGTGCTTCTAAGGAATTGCCTGGGAAAACCCTGGACTTCCACTTTGACATTTCAGAGGTACTTAGCTACATGAACTGCTTCTGTGAACTTCAGCGTGAATTTATGGTAGAAAAAGTAAAATGTAGTTGCCAGGAGAAAAGAAGGCTTATATTTCATTACAAATGAAGACTTTTAAGGCCTAAATTAGGTTCTTTTATTTTAATCATATATTGAGGGGCAAGGGATATAGCTCACTTGTAGATCACTTGCCTAGTATACCTTGCCCTGGGTTCAATCCCCCCACCAAAACAAAACAAAAAAAATACATTGAGTATCACATTAACTAAGGCTGTCAATTGGCAGATTTAGAATTAGAAACTAGCCTATTAATGACAAAATGATTTTTTTAGAAATACATTTAAAAATGGAATGATCTTAAATATCTTAGACCATGACCTTCACTCCTTTACCTCATGACTATCATTTCGTATCTTGATATGCGAAGTATTTGTCCCAGAACTATACCAAATGGGCACATGACCAAGATTTATAGAAGTATGAAAGTCATGTATATGGTGGCTTCTGCAAACCACACAGCTCTTTAAACAAGTAAACTAGGAACCTTCCTGGGGCAAAGAGCACAGGAGGAACAGAAAAAAAAGCCCTAAGGACCCATGCTAAGGAGCTGGAAAGCAAAGATCAAAAGTAAGATTTTTCTGCTAGTCCATGACCCAAAATTTGGGCAGGCAGTACTTAATTGTTTAAGTCAAAAATATAAAATAACTTGGCTTTCAAGTTTTTTTTACCCCATGATTCATGACCCCCCCCACCAAGCATAAACTGTACTGTTCATCTTTATAACCAAGCCATAGTGGTACACTGTCTGCTGCAAAGCAGATCATTAATAATTATTTCTAGATACTGCAAAAAATAAATCAGATATGTTTATATGGAACCCACACTAGTAAATAGGTTGTATCCCAGCTAGTTTTTATTCCTCCTTTCTGTACTAGGGGATGAATCCAGATTTTCACATAAGTCCTCTACCCAGACTAGATTTTTTGACACAACAGCACTTGTTGAGTTTTATTATCCTTTCAGTGTTCAGGATGAAATAACTCTTTTACTCCCGTTGTGATACCTACATCTATATATAGTATGCATGTAAATGCTATTAAGGTATTAATTTAATCCCTGTCCATATTTAACTATTTTTTTACATTGCTAAAGGGAAAAGCTATTTTCACTCTTAGATTTAAGTTTATCCTGCTCCCAAAGGTACAAGAAACATGTAGCCAATTAGCTGCATCCCTTAACTCCCAGAACCACTCCAGAACAATGGCTCTTGGGAGGTAGAGAATTATTAGTAAGTTCATGGCCACCTGAGGCCCACAAGGTGGTGTCAGCAGAGGATACCTCTGTGGGGCTCAAGTTGGGGAGGTGCTGCCCACTTACCACTACACTCCAAGGAGCACAGGAAGTGAAATTTCTGAAATGTCCAAAAACCTGACCCTGACCTTATCCATTTGAATAATTTAAAAGATAATTAAATGTATAAAGATTGATGATTAGAGCAACCTCTAGAAGGGTAAAGAATTATAGTCTTTTTATAAGAAATTCTATCTTAAAAACCCAAAAACTATTTGCTTTCCTGCATGTTTTTGCATTTTCTTTTTTTGTTCTGTTTTGTTTTTGTTTTTGCATTTTCTATCAGTGATTTCTAAAGCATAGTGAACATCAAGTGATTAGATTTGTTTCCTGCTGATAAAGAGAGTGGGAGAATGTTGAAGATACAAATGATTTAGAATGTATATTTGAACATCAGAAAAACAAGCCTATGTGTAACACCAAGCTTTTCTGATCTAACTTTTAAACATATAAGCAGTTCTTGGTTGTTTCTGAGTAGAAAGGTCCAATATTCTACAAAACTAATTAATGAGTCAGAAGAATGTGTACTCTTTCATTTTCTCAAGACACCAATCATCGGGAGGCGATATGACGATTTACAGAATTCTGTTGGACATGACGGGAAGCCCAGGGCCATGGCCGTCACCCGGAGCGTGTCTTCCACTTCATCAGGCTCCAACTCCAATGTTCTTGTTCCTGTGAGCTGGAAAAGACCCCAGTATTCTCAGGTATTCAATCCCAGACTTGCAGCATTTGAAGGGAGTTTAGGGGACCTCCTGATCCCAAATCCACATATACTACCTGAGTCCACCATTTATTATCACAACATTCCCCACTGGGCCTCAATCCTCCCAATGTGGGGGATCTCACAGAACCTTAAGGGCACCCATTTTATCTTTAAATGGCACATTATGTTGACTAGAAGTTAGACTCTGTGTTGTTCCTACGCATTGGTTCTAGCTCTCTTACAGGTTAGGAAACAAAATCTAACCTTTCATTCACATGGTAGCCCTTCAAACATTTAAAGAAACCCTGCCCTTCTGCCACTTACCCAAGTGATCCTCATTTCTCCAAGCAACACATCTTTAGTTCTCCCAAGCTATTTATAGGGTTTAGACACCCAAAGGGTTAATAGGGCTTCACATTCAAATGCCATTCTGGCTGCTCTCCTCAGAACATAAATTTAAATCATGATTTCCAAAAGCAGGCTGAATCATGCTGCCAGATTTCTCTATAGATTGGTCATCATAGCCTAGGACTATATATATATATATTAGTCTATGGGTGACTACATCACATTATTGATGCCACTCGGTTTGCTGTCAGGCAAAGCCCCTGCACTATTCAGGAGTCTTTTAGTGATATGTGACAGAAACCCACTGAAAACTTACCATAAATGGAAAAGAAATTTATAAAACTATCAGTGTTAATTAGCTTTTTGTCACCAACAAAATACCTAAAAGAATGAACTTATAAGGAGGAAAGGTTTATTTTGGCTCTTAATTTTAGAAGTGTTAGTCTATGGTCCCTTGGCTGTGTTGCTTTGGGCCTGTGGTGAACACAATACATCATCGTGGGAATATATGATAAAAGAGGCTTGTTCACCTTGTAGAGGCCTCAGAGAGGAGGACAGGCAGGACACCAAAAGCCCTTTCAAGGGCACATTTGCAATGACCGAACATTCTCCCACTGGGCCCCACCTCTTAAAGGTCCCACACCTCCCTGCAGTGCCATGGGCTGGTAACCAAGCCTTTAACATAACCCTTTGGTAGACCTTCAAGATCAGAACTATAGGACCATCCATCTCAGCTTTATGCACAGCTGGATTCTAGCACACTGAGGTTGGGAACCAGATGCTTTGACACTCTCTCCTTTCTGTCTCCACATTCCCAAAGTCTCAGCCTGCTGTTTTCCCCTCTGTTGACTCCATTCTCAGCAGACTCTTCCCATAGGAGCCAGCAGCAAACTGGAGCTCCAGGTTTCCATGGTCTTCAAGTCTGGTAATTTTAGAACAGAGGCCTTCTTCCGGCATCCATAGCTATAGAAATAAAAATACCTACAGGGTATGTACAGGTCAGGAAAAACACTTTGTTTGCATGCCCAGCAAAATTCACCTTCATTCTTAACAGTTTGGGAAATGAATATATATCAGAGCTTGCTGGAACATTAATAGGCTTTCATTTGAGTTTTTGAAAACGTTGTAAAAGAGAAGAAAAATGTACAGTCCTATTCCATGTTGTTCTACATGGATTTTTCTCAGAACTGTAAAATTACCCTTAAAGCATAGGAGAATAGCTGAGCAAATCTACAGTTATTCCCTCCACATCAAAGTCCTCATATCGCTGACTTTGACACTGACCGTCCCTTCTATAACTTGGAAAGAAGGATGCAGTAGACAAGGTTCCATTAACAATGAACATCTAAGAGAGTGGTATTGGTTTCTTATAGTTTCTAAATAACAACCCTAAATCAAATTAAAGGGGAGGGATCATTGTAAAGGGATTAGGAAGACTGTTTTAAGAGCAGTTCTGAAGTACATCAACATTTTTTGACTCTAGTTATATATCTTTTGATTTTCAACTACCAGTCATCCTAAGACCTAGTAATCTCATGAAAAATGTGATGGTTTAGAGAAGATTCCCCATAATTAAGGGGCTGGAAAATAAGGCTTGTGAAGAAAAGAAGAAAGAATCTGTTTAACTTTAGGAAGGATCAGGTGAGAAAGATTTAATGTGGCTTACAAATAATTGAATGCCTTCATCAGGCAGAAAGAAATCTTCTCTCTTGAAGAAAATAAATCTGTACTATAATAGATTTAATTTGGGTGTAAGAAAAATCTTGCTAAAACTAAAAGTTGTAACAGTCAAGAAAAAATTATCAAGGGGAGTGATGGCTCTCCACTGAAGTATCCAGGCATTTTATTTAACAATTTATCTAAAAAATTATTTTACCATGTTATCAATATTTTACTATTATCAATGAGATGTTTTACATTGTTTTTTCATAGCAAGTCTTGTGTTTTACATCTCAGGTCTTCTTTACTTTGGTACCAGGGATTGAACTCAGGACCTTGTGCTTGCGAGGCAGGCAGCGGAACCACTGAGCTAAATCCCCAGCCCTTACATCTCAGTTCTTAGTGGCTGAATTTCAAGCACAGTCACCTGCCCTCTGTGGCAAAGGACTATGACATTAGAGCAGATCTGCTCACAGGACCCCACAATGAAAACCTGCTTTGTGTTTCTTTTCCAGAAGAGAACAAAAGAGAAGTTGGTGCATGTCCTTTCTCTGTGTGGCCAAGAAGTAGGATTAAGCAAAAACCCATCTGTAAGTTCCATCATGTCACACTTATTGTGGTGTCATATCTTTTTGCTTTTGGTCTGTTTTTTTGCTGTTGATCATATAGTTTTGAAGACTCCACAATGAATGAAATGCATGATACCCACTATCTATACCAAACTATCTACACCAAACTCCTGGATTGTTCTTACCTACATCATGGTTTTTAATTTCACTTAGTTTAAAAACCAGGAATGATTTTGTTGGCTCTTTTCCCCAGTTGGCTTTTTGTCCCAATGAATACTGTCTTCATTTTTTTAAATTTATTAGATTTTACACACACACACACACACACACACACACATATGTATATATGTATATATGTATATGTGTATATATATATGTATATATATGTGTATATATGTGTATATATATGCATATATCTCCAAACTTCCTTACAGTATATGTATTGTATCTACTGCACCACCATGCATGACATAGATGCTAACCTTCTTAGATGCAATTCTATTCCATATACACACACTTCTTACTTTGGTGTCATTATTTTACTCACATACTACAAAGATAAAAATAATGACATGTTAACAAAAATTTGGTAAAGATTTTATACTCTTCTCTTTATTCACAATACTTAAAAATACTAAAAGATAAAGCCAGGTATGGTGTCACATGCCATAATCCTAGCATTTAAGAGGCCAAGGCAAGAGGATCATTGCAAATTCAAGGCTAGCCAGAGCTACATAGTGAGTTCAAGGGCAACCTAGAGTATATAGTGAGACCCTGTCTCAAACAACACAAATTATAAATATTTCTAAGTGGCATGTTTTTTCTTATATAAATTTTCACTGTTGTAGCAAAAAATGTCATTAGGCTTTTGAAGGAGCAAATGATTAAAATGTTGTAATAAAAATAAAAAAGCTTCTGAAGCTTTTATAAACTTCAGAAAATTTGAATTAAGTAGATATGAGCATATTGCAACAAAAACTGCAAGTGTTAAGGTTTGGTTTCACCAAGTATTTTTATTTTATTTATATTACAGCATCTTTATTACTTACAAAAAACATAATAAATTAACTTATAAATAAAGTAGAATTAGCAAACTAATTTCTCTTTGGAACTATTTTTAAAATCCCAAACTGTATCTACTTACTTAGTTCATGAGCAGGTGAAATAGTAGAGGCTCAAAAATACCCACTGATGTGTAAGCACCCCAGTTACCCATCAGCTAAACGTGACCTCCGTTTAAGTCACCTTTGTTGTCAGTGGTTTATTGCTGCACCTGTGACATTACTTAGGACAGACAGAGCTGCGTGGCCCACAACAGAGAGAAACAAGAGTGTTTCACCTCTGCAGTGCACCACGGCCCATGAGAGCAATTTCTTACTGCGGTCATGGTTGGCACTTTCTCTGGTTCATACTGTCTGCCCCAGTGCCGAGGCTTTGCTAGCTAAAAATATTTACCTAGAACACTTCACAAATAAGACGTGCTGCACAAACTAGGAAAAGGAGGCTTCCACTGAGGAAAACAGAATTCTCCCGCCGTCATCTCTGACTGACTACTGGACTTGCTCTCAGTGTTATTTGTGTTGCACTCCTTTGCGTGAACCTGTGCAAAACTGTCCACCATGTACCACTGCATGAGAGTACAGCTTGAAGAGCCCTTATCTGAGATGCTTGGTACCAGAAGTGTTTCAGACTTTGGGGTTTTGAGATTTTTCAATATTTGCACAGACTTTACCAGTTGAACATCTCTGATCCAAAAATCTAGACTCCAAAATATCAAAATTTTGAGCATGTCAGCACAGCAAAAATTTCAGATTTCAGGTTTTCAGATCAGGAATGATCAGCCTGTGTAGTGCACATCACATGACTATTCTTAAACAGAAGAGGGGAAAAAACCCACTACATTTGACATTCACTCACTCACTTTACTTTGGAGACATTTTTGTTGTATTTCACTTCTTATAAATGATCTGCCTGCTGTTAAGAAGACTAAGGCATTGTAATGATCATGTAAAGAATACTGTTAATTTTACTAGAGGCTGGCTAGCAAAACATGTAGGTTCATTTGTAGATTACTGTCTCTACAAACTTCTATTAAAATGGCTCAGTGAAAACCTAAATGGAGAAGTTAATTTTAAAACATTAGCATAGTAAAGATTTTAATAAAAGAAATGCTTTGATTTGTTTAAAGGAACATGGCAGAGATTTAAGTGTATATACATTATGGGAATGGTGTTCGGCTAGTCTTCTGCAGTTTCAGTGAGTTTATCAGTGTGTGCAATCTCTAATCCCAATCAGCTGAGAAAGAGTGGAAAATTTTCTTAACTACCAGTTTGTCTGTGAACATATGCTCAGTTGTTTCTCTCTCACACACACACACCCAGGTAGCATTCCATCCTCATCCATTGAGAGACAGTGACTTAACTCTTGAACATTTTCCTGGTGCATGAACTTATGTCTTTGCAACAAGTTTAATCCAAAGGCACCTGTCCAACATAAATATAAAAGAACATTCTAAAAATACCCACTCAAGGAATTAGGTGTGTACTGGAAATACAATGCTGTGAAGAGCCGCTACCATTTCTTGTAACACAAACAACCAAAAAGAGACTAGTTTCTCAGGAGAGGACTGTTTGGGTTCGTAGGTGATTTTTTCCTCGTGTGGGGACCTGGATCTACTGGAGCATCAGACGAGCTTGGTGTCTTCCGAGGACGGCGCCCGGGAGCAGGAGAACATGGATGACACAAACAGTGAGCAGCAGTTCAGAGTCTTTAGAGACTTCGATTTTCTAGACGTGGAGCTGGAGGATGGCGAGGTATAGTATATTCTCTAAAAATAATCACCTTAACTCTGTCCTTGACTAACAAAATAGTCTTTCTGCCTGCTAAATAGTGAGCTTTTGTCATGTCTTTAATTGCAAAGCTGTAAATTCTATTTTGAATCAGCTTATTCAAAGTACAGCCACTTAACTTTGGTAAGTTACCACACCCTTCCTGTCTGAGCCCAGGGTAAAAGCTGCCAAGTTCTTTCTAAGTGGCAAAGACCTAAGCTGACCACAAAAAGACTGTGTGTGTGCGTGTGTGTGTGTGTGTGTGTGTGTGTGTGTGTGTGTGTTTAGTCTAAAGGGGAACTTAAAAAGCACAAAAACATGCAGTTCTGTGCCTGTTCACTGGCACCTGGGCAAAATATGCTAAACATTTAATTATTTTAAATGCAAAGTTGTTCTAATTCAGTTATTTCAAAGCTTGCCTGCTACAACATGAGATCAAAGCCTCAGGGCTCCAGCTTTTTTGTGCTATGTTTGATGAAATCATTAGAATTTGAAATATAAAGCACATGAGAGAGAGCATTCTTTGCTGTGCTTGGGTTGGTCACTAGCCTTCTAGACACCTGGAGCAGCTGAATTCAAGTCTCAACAGGCAACTATACATTCTTTTATTTTAAATGATCATCATGGTAATAAGATGCTTTCTGCAATGAACCATGTTTTTGAAAACAGGGTTGGAAGGAGGAGCCCCCCTGTCAGTCACCCTCATTTCTGTAGCTAAGGGGCAGGTTTCAGCTGAGAGACAGTTGTTAATCTCCTGTGGATAAAAACACAATTCCCCTAAGTGAAATTGGCTTATGTGGAGATGCCTGGTACTAAGCCTGGTCCATAGTGTTGCTCACCATTGGTCAGTTCACTTTTGACTGAACATACCCTATTTTCCAAAAGGCATTCTGCCAGTCTTATAATTAAAATAGAGGCTCAAATTCAAAATTTATTCTGTCGTATGGCAGGTAGGCACCTCCTAACTTAACTACACACTTGTGGGAAAATGATGCTTTGTGTAGCCTCTCTAAAAGGATGTGATTACTGACTACCCCTCTTAACGTCTCATGGACACCAAAGAGCTTAAAGCACTGACTATGCTTCCCAAAAATGCCAGCTTAATTTTTACGTTAAATTGTTCTAGGACCATTAAAAGTATTGCAGATGCCGGGGATTTAGTTCAGTGGTTTCACCGTCTGCTGCGCAAGCGCAAGAGCCTGAGTTCAATCCCCAGTACCAAAAAAAAAAAAAAAAAACAAGTATTGCTGAGACTGCTACAAACCATATTCAGTGACAGAAAAAGCAAACTACTGTACAATTGTTTTGATTATTTTCTAAATATATCTGAACCAGGGCTGAGTGTTCAGCTGATGTCAAAAGATTAGCTCCCTGACCTGGCAAATGACCTAATGTTTGCTCGCAGGCTAGAATTCAAGTGTGGGCAACCTCTTTATTCTGGAAGTTAAACTAGGAAGGGGAAAACTGACAAAACAAGAGGGGTATCATCTTCCTCAGCCAGAGAAAAGTGTTATATGGAATGACCTGGTAGGAATGATCTAAAGCAGAGGAAGCAGAAACAATTTCAGAACCATAAATTTCATTTCTCTCAAAATAAAAGGAGTTGGGGATGTGACTCAGTGGTAGAACATGTGCATAGATAGCATGCACCGAGGCCCTGTGTTGTATCCCTACTACCACAAACATAAAAAATATTTTTTAAATGGAAGAAAAAAAAAATCGGAGATGCCCACCTCTTAACTATGGTACTAATGTTTTTCATAATAATGAATGCTATGCCTTCCTTTTAAATCCTCTCCCTTTTCTCCTAGCCAACAATTAAACTATCACAGATAATTTTATCTTTTATGATTAAAGTTTTATAAGAAATTAAAGGGAGTAAGAGAGTACATTTTATCCAAATAAAAGAAGTCATTTGAAAGTTGGGTGCTGTGGCATGTATCTCTAGTCCCAGCTACTTGGAAGCTGAGGCAGACGGATTAGCTGAGCCCACGAATAAGGACCAGCCTGGGCAACATAGTGAGACCTCATCTCAAAAATAAATAAGCCATTGAAGAATGTTTTGCTACTTCCGAATAAAATTATAATAAGAGGGGTGACGGGGAAAGGAAAGAAGGGACAAGAAAAAAATAGGAAAAAATGGAAACAAAGCTTTTGAATATAAAGAAGAGAAGAAGGGCTGAAGGGGGGGGGATAGAGGAAAAAAAGAAGCAAGATATATCATGTACAGGTACAAATTCCCTATGATGAATATTATCACTATGTACATCTAAAATCTACCAATAAATGTTTTGCAAAAAGAAAAAAAGAAAAGCACTCCGACATGCTTACTAATCACTAAATGGCCTCAGTGTTTGTATTTGAATCTATCAACTCTAGGTTTGAATTTCAGCTCTACTGATGACCTAGCCATAAGACCTCAAACAGGAGTTTAGGTCTTCTTGTTTTCTACTGCTCATCGGTTCAATAGGTATCATAATACCTGCCTCTACAGCTGACATGAGGATTAAATAAGATAACCCATGGGGAGTTTCTAGCATAATGTCAGACACTCAGTATTCTCGATGTCAGTCCCCTTGAACTGGCTATTATTGGCAAATAATTTTAGCATATCCTCACCAGAGAAAGCATATTTGGTGACTTGATGAAAACACAATTGTCAAGCCAAGGGTGGTGGCATATGATAGCCTGGTCTGCACAGCAAGGGAAAAAAAAAAAAAAAAACTCCAGTTGTCAAAAAAAAGGAAAGCTGTTTATATGTCTGTTCCTTTTCACTCATCTCAGGATTTGTTGATAATATCTGTACAAGAGTTTCTGCCCTTGACCTTTTTAGAATCTTAAAGGGCCGTGTCTTTGCTCTTAATTGCATATCCGCAGTAAACACTTCATGATTGCAAACACTTTTAGTTTTGTGAGCAAGATCAGGTGACACCACCTTTTTTCTTGTTGATGACCCTTATTTATTTTCCTGTGGCATTTAACAATTTTCTCACAAGTAATTATTTAGGCATTCAAAAAAATGTGTTGAAGAGACCAACGCTGTCACCAAAGTGGAAAGCTACTTCAGAAATTATACTTACGATGTTACCCCAGCTGCACTGTCTATCACTAAGAGGTGTGAAATACCTGCTGTTTAATATTTACTCTTCTCTTTGGGGTTAGCGCATACTTAACTTTTTAAAAAGTTGTGTCTACAGAAGTGTACATTGTTTATATCGTTACTATTATTAGTTGCTGCTGTGTTAAAACTAAGACAAATGCACTTAAATATCTTTAATCATTTTAAATAGACCTTTTATTTGTTTTTCTATCCAATCTGCTACCCAGGAACTTCAGGTAAGATGATGCTATTTTTAATTCAGAGACGCTAGTAGATGTTTTGCATCACTGCAGATGAATAACAACGTAATTGCTTTTTTTCCTCCCTTTCAGCAAATGTATGCTTATTTGTGTGTACATACCTATTTAGGTATGTCATATAATGGGTTTTTTTCCTGGCTGCTTAGTATGGAAATATTTTCTAAAATATATGATTTTTTTTTAAAAAACTTTACATTCTAGTATGGAAAATATATAGTACATACAGAAAGTGAGTCATCAAGTTTGATCAGTGGATATCCTATAATTTCTGGTTAGGCAAGTACACAACTAGATGGATTTTTATTCTTTTCCTATTCAAAATGAAATCAGGCTAGGAGTGTAGCTTAGAGATAGAGCATGTACACAGGGACCTGGGTTCAATTCCTAGCACCAAAAAAAAAAGTGAAATCATTCTGCACCTGATGATATATACACTTCCAATAAAATCTTTTTTCCCCAAGAATTAAAAGCTATCTCTTTATGATGACTGGATCAATTTTCATCCAAACCTGGGCTCTTATAAGTGAAAGGGGATACCAATAACAATTACATCCAGACAATGGGCATAAGCCAGGATCATCCTAGGCAAACTGACCTAAGATCACTCTATGTCATATCAGACTTACTCTAAATAGCTCATTTAGGGGAACATATTAGACTATACTACACCCAGTACCTTCGACAATAATTCTTTTTTGACTAGGGATGTAGCTCAGTCCTTGAGTTCAATTCCCAGCACCAAAATAATAATTTTTACACTTTTATTCTGTCTTAACCATGTTCTGATATGAAAAAATTATTTCAGTGAATATTACTTCCAATATTTCTAGAATATTGCTAATACTTTTCTATACCAGTATAAATCCTGAGTGGTATATTTAAGTTTGTCGATACTGGAATGTGAAAATTGTCCATCCAGAGTAGTTATCCATCTTCTACATTTTCTCATATATAACCTGGCACTACTAATAAACTGTTTGGACTTTTATGTAACATAAAATGCAAATCCAACACTTGAGGGAGAAGCAGGATGGAGTGTAACTCTATTTGAGGTATCCCTGTGCTATGGTGCAAAAGAGGGGTTGACTTTTGATCACCACAGCTACTCCCCCAGAGGGGAGATTAAACCCAGGCCCTCGTGCATTCTAAGTACACAGTCTATTCCTAAGCTACACCGCCAACCTCCAATACTGCTTCATCTCAATGCCTCAGCTACTACCAGGAAAACAATTTCAACACCTTTGTTCCAATGGAGCTGTCACATCCTCTAGAAAGACAGATCTTATTCCTGAAAGGACAGCTCCCTGCCTCCCTGTTCTCATGCCTGATGGATTTAGGTCTTCAGCAGACCTGCCAGCAAATCCATAGTTCCAGCCATCCTTCCCCAGCATAGCACTTCTTGCTGTAGATGTCTCTGTTCTCTGCAGGCTCATGGCTCTTTCTCAGGATCAATGTAGAGACCTCCAGAACTGGTGCTTAGGATAGTTCATCCAGGGCTTGGGTATAACTCAGTGGTAGAGCAGTTGCCTAGCACATGCAACTCTTGGGTTTGATCTGCAGCACTGCAAAAATTTTTTTAAATGGAATCCAGTCCTTCCAACTCATCTATTCAGTTGGGACAAGAAAATCAGTTTTATGAATTTGTATATTTCTTCCAATAATTTTCACATCCTTTTGTATACTCTCATTTTTTCATCTTTTTTTCCTTTCCTCACACATTGCATTTTTTTATTCTTCTAAGATCTCTTGCTCTTACACATACCTCTCATTTTTTTCATTGAAATAGTTATTTTAAAATCCCAACACAGGAGTTAGCCTTTTCCATCAAGCTAAAAAAAAATTATTTTGTGAAAATTTATCACTGTAGACACAGATCAAACAAATACAAGTTGAATATCCCTTATTCAAAATGCTTGGGATTAGATTTTGAATTCCAATTTCATTTTTTCTTCGGATTTTAGAATATTTGCATGTACACATGGAGATTTCTTAGATATGGGACCCAAGTCTAAACAAAATTCATTTATGTTGTATATACACATAGCCTAAAGGTAATTTTATACAATATTTTTAGTAGTCCTGGGTTTTGATTGTAACCTATCACATAATGTCAAGTATAGAATTTTCCACTTTGGGGCACGATGACAGCACTTTTGGATTTTGGAGCATTTTGGATTTCAGACTAAGGGTATCTAACCTATGCAGATACAGGTAAAAGAGCAGATACAGAATATGAAAAACATCTAAATCTATATAATCAAATGCCTTATGGCAATCACTATATATCTTTTTTTTTTTTTTTTTTTTGAGACAGGGTCTCACTATATAGTTCAGGCTGGGCTTGAACTCACTATGTAGCCCAGGGTGGCCTTGAATCCATGGCAATCCTCCTGCTTCAGCCTCCCAAGTGCTGAGATTACAGGCGTGCTCAACCACACCTGGCCCATATCTATAATTTCTGTATTGTATTTGGAATATGTTAAGCATCTACTATAAGAGGTCTCTGAGAATGGAAAATTTGTGTCATTAGGAATCAGAAACAGTAGACTAAGCCAGAGAGAAATGAATAAACACAGTACTAAGATTAACAGTAATGTGCATCTGTCATTATGCTGTTTACTAGCTCTCTTCAGAGTGAACCATTAGCCAGTGTTTAAATTTCCAAAAACTGAAAGGATTTGGTGTTAAATTTTATTTCATTACCTTTTTGTTTAAACTAAACTGCTTATCAGTAGGCTAGTAATCTCTCTTCCTTTATTCCTGTTTTAAACAGAAAAAGAAAACCCAAATTCATTTCTAGGAAAGAAAATTATTAGTCAAATAAACTTACTTAATATCTGATGGTGTATAGAGAACATCTAAGATATAACTAAAGCTTTCTTTAATACTTACATAGCCTCCTAGGCCACTTCTATGAAAATCCCAATGTACAAGTCAGCAGTCATGTTTAGTACTGAGGCAAGAAATTGTTTTCCAGGGTGGAACAATTATTTAAAGATGAGCCTAAAGCAAAAATTAAGCCATTGCTGCTCTGGCCTCTGCATAATGCATGATTCATCAAACTTTGTCCAGCTCCCTGACAGTCTTTAACTCTGCATTTTATCTGTGAAAACTGCTGTGGCAGAACAGGCTGGAATGTTTACCTAATGCTCCTCTACTTAATACCAAAGGATTCTGGAATGTGCTGCAAGCCTAGCTCCTACTTGTTTCTCCTTCGGAAAAGTGCACTAAATGGGGGCTGGTGGGGGAAGGTAGCCCATACCTCTTTTAATATTAATAGTCTCTTGGAGATTTATTAAAACACGTCATTTCTAGGGTTTGCCAAAATCAATTTTTTAAAAAACACAATATCTAACATGCCCCAAAAAAGGTATAATTACTTCTATGACTTAATATATATTTACATAAATATATTTTTTACATAATATATATTTACATAAAAATATATTTACATAAAAATAGTCTGCTTTTGTTACTTTTCACATCAGGTAAACTAAAGCTTTTATACCTAAGCTCATGAGGGCTTGGAAGTTGACGATGACCACATTTTTTCTAAACTGTGACTAATTAAAAGGTGTGAAGGTGTGAGTGCAGGAGGATTTGGGCATCAAAACCCAGCTAATGGTGTGATTTCAGGGTGAGAGTATGGACAATTTCAACTGGGGAGTCCGCAGGCGCTCACTGGACAGCCTGGACAAGTGTGACATGCAGATCCTGGAGGAGTGCCAGCTCTCAGGAAGTCCTCCCAGCCTAAATAAAATGAACCATGAGGATTCTGATGAATCATCTGAGGAGGAGGACCTCCCACCCAGCCAGATCTTGGAGCACTCTGACCTTGTAAGTAGGAACTCTCCCACTGTAGCAACTGAGACTTACTTTTTCTGTAATTAATGCAGGAGTTTTGTTTCTAATTCCAGTAATGAATTTACTACAGCTATCGGACTAAAATCTCAACTCTTAGGTAGTGTCTCTTTTCTAGGTGGCCTCTTTTCTGTAGGTGGCAGATGGATACAATTCCTGGGGTAAATATTATACACCCTGATCACCATCTAATCTGTAGGGACCTAGAGCTTTTCCAAATACTCTAGCTTATGTGATGCTGGAATCTTTAAAATTTCCTCAGGTAGCTAAAGTTTTAGGAAATAGGACAGACATTTTATTGTGGTTATCAACAATACAGTATTGGTATTTTAGAAGGCTGTGCCATGACACCAGATTAATACTAAATTGCCAGTTGCCATGTCTAATGTCCAATAATGGTAGCATGTGGAAAGTAGAAAATTAATACTTATTATCCAACAACTAGAAAACAATGGTTTGTGTGCTTATGTAAAGATTATTTAGAACTTTCAAAGAATGGGAACTTCATATTGTTTTATTTCCTTTGCTTTTTAAACAGATCATGACCCTCTCCCCTTCTGAGGAGGCCAATCCCATGGAATTGCTCACTACAGTCTGTGACTCGACCCCCGCTGACCCTCATTCCTTTAACACCAGAATGGCCAGCTTTGACACTTCACTGCCTGATGTGAATAATCTGCAGATTTCTGAGGGTTCAAAGGTGAAGATATTTTGGCAATTGTGATTGTTGTTTTCTTTAGAGAAAAATTCTTCTAATTTTTCTGAGCATTCTTAGAGAAAGGAGGTCAAAAGTAGAGCTACATTTCTTTTTCTGATTTTAGTAAAATAACTAAAACTTTTACACCTGGACCCGTGTTTTCAAGCTGCTTTACACTCACTCTCTTAAGCAGCCATCTTCTTGGTTCAAAGAGATTTGATCTGAAATCTTTATAAATCGAATCATTTTGCCTGAACACTGCTGATTGAGGGCAAAACAAAGTGGTGTATGTCTGAGATGGCTGTGACTGGGAAACTGCTGCTCTTTGTCATGGCTTTTATAAAACAATATGCTAAGTGAGGTGTGGGTGTATGTGCAAATTTGGGGAAATTTTTTCCTATGAAGGAACCAGTTATACAATTTGTACATTGATTGAACACTTGCCTTTTGTCATACTGCCAGACTTTTCAATGTCAATTGCAGTATTATGCCAGATTTCCACAAACACTCCTAGCCAGATTGAGGAAAAACATTAATATAATATCTTTATTTCAAAAGGTTAGCTTGAATATATATATATTGGTTTATGAACTCAGTTCTCTCCACAATTCTGGTCACACACCAAACTAGACAAGAACCGAATCAAATTTCTCCATAAGCCCAACATTCAACCTAACCACTGAATTTTATTTGGTTCTTGTGCAACTAGTTTGTGACCAGAATCATGGAATGAAGTTCATGAACCAAGGCACCACGTATATTAATGTATATTTCATGTAAGCTTTATTTTATCAAAATTTTCAGAAAATATCCTATCTGTAAAACCATCCACTTGCATGTTGCAGCCACCTCTATGCCCATCAGTATAAACTTTTATTTCTTTATATTAAATATACTCAAATAATCTATGCTGTTGGGATAAAGTAAAGCTTTCTTTATTCTGAGTTCGGTTATGATAAGTTTGAAGAGAAAATAAGAACAAATTATAAAGTACATCCCTTCTGAAGCTTCTAATGGAAAAATATTAGCTATTCTGTGTTGTTTTACTAAAAACAGATCTAAGGTAGAGAAAAATCTATGTGCTTTAAACCAAGAGCAACCACCAAATTGCAATTACCTATAAGTGTCAATCCCCAATATTGCACACACACACAAAAATATGCTAAAGTTTAAATAAGAATTGCTTCAAAAAACACCCTATTGCGAAAGGACTATGATTAGGATTACTAAAATTAGCACAACTCTTTTTTTTTTTGTACTAGGGATTGAACTCAGGACCTTGCACTTGCAAGGCAGGTGCTGAAACCACTGAGCTAAATACCCAGCATCACAACTCTTTTTTAGCCAAAAAAAAGCACAGAAAGAAAATCTTGTTCTAAATTAAAGTGCCAGAATCCTATGAAATTAAATTGTATGGAAAAAAATAAAATACATTTAATACCTCAGTTCACAAATGCCTGTTTGCAAACAATTTGGTTTGCAAACAAAAGTGTTTGGCAAAATTTTGCTTCCATTCATAAACTCTGCATTGGGTGACAAACAAGTCCACAGCCATCTTCCCCACACAAACATAAATACAGCCATCTTCCCCAAACTCATAAAACAAATTAAGTTTGTAAATCAAGGTACCACTGTATATCTAAAGTTATGAGCATCTGATATTTCTCAGTAGTTTGTATGCTAAGATACACAGATTTCTCATAGAAAGTACTGCCTAAGTAGTAAGAAGCATCTAATTCTAAAAGTTCAGTCTCATTTCTGAAGAACTATTCCTGTTTCTCTCATGGGCTAGGTTTCTATGGTATTTGATATATCTGTGATATTTGAAAAAATAGAGGTATTTTTATAAGACCTCAACCCTTCCACAATAGATGAAGTCTGTGTGCCGCTAATAACCAGGACAGTCCTCAGAGGCCTGCCTCATTGGACCTGTGTAGCTTTAAAAAGCAGAAAACAGCAGATATGCATAAATCTCTGAAACTCAGTATTTATAAGCAGTTCCACCAAAGACATGAGCCATCCTGTTTTCCTAATATATCTTTAACATTCTTGTTAATTTCTCCTATTAATCCTAGTTTGAAAATATATTTTTATTTTGCCTCAGGTTTTGTTTTTATTTTAAGAAAATGACTCACTGTAACATGTATGTTTTCTTCCTCTCCTCCTCTAAAGTGTGATCCAGTTGCCTTCCTTCCTCTCATAAAGAACAATTATTTCTCCAGCTGATTTCCCCCTGGCCCAGGTTCAAGCCCTGCCTCTTTTTCCATTTTACTTGCTGTGTCTCCTTCCTGCCTCTTACTTATCCCAGTTCTGCCTGCCTTAGAGCCCTTTCATGTTAACTGCTCCAACCACATATTGTAGTGAGGTGAGAACAGATACTTGTATGTCCTGTGTTCAGTGGGCATATTCAAAGGTAAAACATATGTGTAAGTGGATTTTAGACAACTTTCAATATGGAAAAGCCTGGATTGGTAAAGGACTCTTGGATCATTTGTGTACACTACAAGTACTTCTGAATCTGAAGGAAGTGTTTCTCTTCCCAGGTCCAACTGTGATTATTGATCTGACATTAGACAAATCTTTCCACATGAAGCCCCTTATTCCCTTCCTCGTAAAATATGGAGGTTGGACCAACTTTTCCAAGTTTAGCACTTATGCTCCATAAGCACGGGTCAAATATCATAATCTACTGAGAGCCCCTTTGGGGACAGCTGTGGAAAAGAGTAATAGAAAGATAATGAACAAATGGTACTTCAGAGAATTTCTGAATCTAGTTCTAGCAGTAGACTGTATTGTAGCTAGAAAACAAACACCTCCAGTTTCTACTGCTGTCAGCATTTCATGTTTTCTTCACCTTTCCTGTATATATTCTTAGGCACTGGGAGTTCTTTTTTCCTTTTATCCCTCCAGGCTGATGCTGTCCAGGAGGAGGAAGATACTACTGTGCATGAGGATGACCTTTCAAGTTCCATCAATGAGCTCCCAGCAGCTTTTGAATGCAGTGACAGCTTCAGTCTAGATACAACTGAAGCAGAGGAAAAAGGCAATCAAGGCCTGGACCAGTTTACCCTTGCAAGGTAAGGAAGCCCGTGGTGAAAATGAGTGTACATGGTGCATAATGTTGTTTTCATGCTTACTCAAGTTCAATGCTACACTTACTCTACTGGGCTTCCTAATGAAGGAGTCCACAGTGGCATGGAGCTCAGTGGTCTTTCACTGAGTTAGAACATCTAACTCCAGATAAAGCTTCATGTGGAACCATGAAAGGATGCCCATGTAAGAATTTATAAAGCCTGAAAACAGCATGGAAAGCCAAAGAAAGGCATGCACATGTGGTCCAGGCCTTATAAGCTTTGAAGATAAGGAAAATTTGGCAGGGCTTGGAAATGAGTTCTTTCCATTTTAAGTTAAAAGATATGAACAAGAGGCTGTTTATATACTAAATATCTACTCTCCTTTAAATCAGTGTCTTTCAGCCTGATGGCTGATATCTCTGAAACTAATGAGATATATGAAGAGGAATAGGTAAGAAAATCACTCCAGATAAACTCAGCATCTAGGATGTCATAAATAATATTAGATTTACTTCAGGAGAAGAAAGAGGAGATCCTAACATTACTCTTCTGAAAGTTGAAAATGAGATTTAAAATAAAATAAAGTTTGTGGTATGGCTAGAAAAAGGCCTTCTGTTATGGTGAATGATATTTATCAAAGGGAAGCTGAGATGATACCCAAGAGAAGAATTTGACTTTTTGCTTTTTATTCAATTTTATTCATAATCTCCTTTCCTTCTTGTCTCTGTATCTACCCTATCTTTGTATTTTGGGTATTTACACATATGCATTCATTAATCCTCTCTCAATATAAAGGAAAAATTAGAATAATCAAAATTTGTGTTATAATTTTTCATAGCAAAAAAAATAAAGAGGAATGGAAGTGCCCGGGCAGATGTTTACTTTGGGGCACAGCACCTGGGAAAGCAAGAAGCTTGCTGCGTGCTTGAGAGGTACTGCGGGTGCATAAAGGAATCAGAAATAGTGGAATCACAGAAATTCTAGAAGTGAAAATTCTATTTCCTAGAATCAGAAAAGAGTATCAGAAACCTCTGATGAAAGCCAGGCCCCAGAATACCCTCAAAAGGAAGAGTGGGCCAGGCAGTCCAAGTTGGCATTTTACAACCAGCTAGAGGACATCAGTTCTTGATGGTCATTTTCATGTCTTCCAGCTTTGGAGAAGGTGACAGGGGAGTCTCTCCCCCTCCCTCGCCCTTCTTCTCCGCCATCCTTGCTGCCTTTCAGCCCACAGCCTGTGACGATGCCGAGGAGGCCTGGCGCAGCCACATCAACCAGCTCATGTGTGACTCAGACGGCTCATGTGCGGTGTACACGTTTCATGTGTTCTCCTCTCTGTTTAAGGTACAGGGCTCACTGAACATGCCTAGGGCAGAGGCTCTGACGAGAGCCACAGCTTGTGATTTAATAAGGAGCATGTTGTTTTGTTCTAAGATTGTCCTGTTCCTCCTCCAGACACTCCTGTCCTCTGACTTTAACAAGTCCTTCTATCCTTCCTAAATCTTCAACCTCCTCAGAGTAGTCTTACGAAGATGTTGGCCTCATATGCTTTTGTTTACTTTCCTCCAGTATTAGGCAGTAGTGACATTAGGACCAAGAAGGGATCTGCAAACTCTGTGCTCATCACTCTGTTCCCCTCTCCCTTCCTGGAGGACTCATGCTCATTTGATATTTTTATAGAGATTGAAAAACTCTATGTGTCTGTGTGTGTAAAACACAGGGGATTGAACCCAAGGCCTTTCCACTAAGCTACAACCCAGAGCTTATTTTCTATATATTTTTT